GGATGCTTAGAGCCAGCAAAATGAGCTAATGCCATCTTTAGGTGATCTCAGAAACCTCCTCAGATCACCTTTAAGCATCCTTCAAGTTTTTTCCTGTTGTCCTTGCTTTCTTTGGTGCTTTTCTAATCTAAGATGTATCAACTTGCCCAAATACAAATTCTTTTACAATAGTAGAGGCTGGCGACGAGCAAGATGGTCACGATAATTAATACTTTTAAAAAAATATATGAACAATTACCACTTGGGAGCAAGCTCACAAACTAGTGTAAAGATGACGAACGTCTGGTATGGGGCATAGGAAATGCACAGCCGCCGTTTTTGCGCTATTTTTAATATTTTACTGCATCTAGCTTGAGCCCTGAAAAATATAGACATAAAGCTCATGGCAAAACTATGTTTGCCTGTCCAATTTCAGGTATGCACGTTTGGAACTCGAATTCTGTGAGGTGTGCCAAATGTGTCAGTCCTTACCGCCAAACCCTTTGCGCAGCGGGCGCAAATCGCACGCAATAACGTTACGTGCGGGTCGCGCTTTACAATCCAGCCCAATAGTGGGTCACAAGCTGCCTTCAAGTATTGAGAAAGATACATTAATATACGACACAGTGTAGGCAGAAATTCCACACATTTTTTAGAAATAGTGGAATCTCGTTAATTCAAACTTGCAGCTAGTTCAAACTAACATGCAGGTCCCACTCTATGCGTTTCTAGGAAGGAAACTTCCAGTAATTCAAACTTTGCATTTTTCAAACGAAGTTCTGGTCCCCCTCGGGTTCAAATTAATGGCTTGTACTATTACAAGTCACAGCAGCTCGGAAAAAAACTTGCAACGTTCCAGTTAACTTTTTAAGTTTTCATTTCTGAAGGGATATTACTTAATGAGATTCCACTGTATAGCAGAATTGCCGGACACTAAAACAAAGCAAGACACGAGCTACAGATGCTAGCCGTACGATGGCGCCACTTTGAAGCCGTACTTGGAAACCTTTTTAAAGAAGAAGTGTGTAGTACTGGGGCATCGGCGCCACCCCACACACCTACTGAGCAGGCAAGAGTGCGCAGTTGAGAATAGTTCCGATACAGCAGAGTGCAGATGTGGCACTGCTGTTGACTTACGGACGATATCCGATCCGTAGGCTGTATCGTGGGACCACTCTTGCCGGCAAAAAAAGCAAAACATCGTCGTGCCTCCCTCTGAAAACCCACAGTAACAGGGGGCACCTGTGAGAATCGGCCCGCCATCACCGTGAAAGGACGCAGGAACAGGCTCTTTTCTTGGCGTGTTTGCGTTTGCACGTGTGCCCCGGTGTGTGGGTGAACTGGCGACGCTCGTGCGAGCTGGGGCAGGGGACATTTTGGAGAAGAGAAGAAGACGAGGAGAGCACGTGGTGGGACCTTGTTGGGATTTTCGGAAATTAGCTTCACTTGTAAATAGACATGTTTTTTTTCTTCCCCCTATCCGCGGAGTCCTGTCTGCTTGCTCTTCCGTCAGCGACCATCAGCTGCCTCCGTCGTCGGGTCCCGGCGCAATCTCGAAGAAAGAACATCTTTACTGGCGCAGTCGACAGGATTGCGTCAGCGGACCCCGGCGGCGTGATCTTCACATCGGAATCGGCGGACAGCGACTTGACACGGCACTGGTGGAGCCTTCTAAAGAGAAGACTAAACCACCGAGCTCCTTGAAGATTGGACCACCGAGCTACTTCGTGGCGGCAGAGCTACCTCTGACCGGATGCCGTCCCACTCCAACGAGGAACGCGCGAGTTTACAGCTCGGACATCTTTTTCGTGCCCGACTATTCTGAGGAGCGGGCTGCGTCTGTGATCCAGCGGCAGTCGTTGACCTTACGGTAAGGTGATTCTTTGACGTGCGCCCGCCATAGATACAGACAGCGCAGAGCGGCAGATGCCGGTTCTAACGCCAGAGCAGGATAGGGTTTGGAATTGGAATGTTGACGGGCCAGGTGAATTGTCGCCTTTGAGTGGATTAGTGGCAAACTCGCAGACACAAGGGGATGGGAACGAAGGAGTCCGATCATACAGCTCAATCGAAAAGGAGATTGAACTAGTAAGGGAGAAAGAACGGCTGTTACGCCTCGAGCTAGAACTAGAACAACTACGCTCGGAAAACCGAAGGCGAGCCAGTGGAGGCGGCATAGAGGTCAACCTCCGAGAAGAAGTTTTTCGTTTTTCGAGATTGATGAAGGGAGTGCTGACTCCCATGCCGTCGTCCGACATATTAGTGCCGAGCTGGTTTGATGGCGTAGAAGACGTCTTCGAGACATATGAAGTCCCTGAGCGGCTCAGAGGATATCTTGTGCGACCTTATTTCACAGAGAGCATGCGTGCACTAGTGAATAGGGTGAACACGGGTGAGAGAGGTTGGTATGGTGCGGTCAAAGAACGGGTCTTGTTAGAGCTCGGACTGTCTCGAGCTGAGGTCTGGAGGCCCTTTATTGAAACCACCACTTCTCTCAAGGAAAAACGCGAGAGCCCAAGGCAGGGCATCGTACCAGAAAATTATCGGGTGAAGTGTTTTAAATGCAAGGAATTGGGGCACTATTCCCGCGAATGTCCCCGGACGAAGACACCAGACGAAAAAACTTCTGTTTCAAAAGAAAAAATTAGACACCAAGAAAGTCAAAGTGGAGGAAGATTGCAGCCGTGAGCCCGACAAGGTGACGGCCGTGGTGGGCAAGACCGGCGGTAACAACTTGGACCACCAAGCTCAGAAGAGGTAGGACCTATCGATCCGCGAGGCGCTTCAGATTCTGTTACAGGCCGACGACACGGAGCGGTCGTCGAGGAACAATCGCGGCTGCGTGTCTGTGCAGGCGGACGTTGACGGCAGAAATGAGCTGAATGTCTCGCGTGCCGGGAGGACGTCCTAGCGAGCTGAGGATGACCATGACGAGCAGGTGAACGTCGACGACGAAAAGCCGTGCACTTGGCCTGGGCGGCAGGCATCCTGGCGATCTGAAGACGACTCATGTGTGAGGCCGGTCCCGACATCTTACCTGAATTGCACAAGTTCTTACAAGCCAATAGCGACCACGTTGAGAACATGGGCGGCGGTTACAAAGAAGAATCGAGGGTATCTTCCGAGAGGTGGAAATGCCGGCAAGCCGAAGATGAAGACGGCGAGAACGTGGACGACGACGAAGGACTAGACTTATTGCCTGGGTGGCAGGCGTCTCGGCAAGCCGAGGACGACGATGGCGAGAACGTGGATGACGACGAAGGACCGAACTTATTGCCTGGGCAGCAGGCGTTTCTTCGACCGGAGGATGATCACGACGAGAATGTGAACGTCGACGACGAGAAAGAACCGAATATCTTGCTTTGGCGGCAGACGTTCTGGCAAGCTGATAGTGACCACAGCAGGGAAGTGGGTGTCGACAAGAAGTCGGACATCTTGTTAGGGTGGCTGACGTCACAGCCGGCCGGTGAAGAAGTCAGGGAAAGCGGGGACAGCGACGAGGACACCGTCTTAAAGATGAATATGTCCCAGAATATAGCTAGGGACGCCGATGAAGACTCGACCACCTGCCAGCCGGCCACGTATGAGAGAGCTGGGAGTGCAGAAGACGTCAACAACGGCGACCGCCTGCGAGGCCCCTTTCTGATTCGTAAATCAAGACAGAGTATAAACTGTCGTCGCTCTTGCGCGGTGAAATTCCGGAACCAGCTACACACCGTCCGATTCAAGCCCCGCTGAAATCTGGGTGGCTTGAATAACCTGTCGGCAAAGAGACCGAGGCTAGAAGGCTAGATGCTGCGCTAGTCTCGGCGCGAGATTGGTCACTGCTTTGGAGCCTTGGCGGGCACAGTAAGAATCACTTTACTGGCGTGTGATTTGCATTTTGATGTAAATTTTTTTGATAGTTTGGATTCTGACGGGCTGAGTCACAAACTCTGTGTAAGGTGTGTCTGATATGCGTACGCGTTTGAGTTTAGTTGTTATATATTATTTTTGACATTTTGGGTCTAAAAAATATACTTAGTCGGGAGGTGTGAGAATCGGCCCGCCATCACCGTGAAGGGACGCGGGAACAGGCTCTTTTCTTGGCGTGTTTGCGTTTGCACGTGTGCTCCGGTGTGTGGTGAACTGGCGACGCTCGTGCGAGCTGGGGCAGGGGACATTTTGGAGAAGAGAAGAAGACGAGGAGAGCACGTGGTGGGACCTTGTTGGGATTTTCGGAAATTAGCTTCACTTGTAAATAGACGTGTTTTTTTTCTTCCCCCTATCCGCGGAGTCCTGTCTGCTTTACTCTTCCGTCAGTGACCATCAGCTGCATCCGTCGTCGGGTCCCGGCGCAATCTCGAAGAAAGAACATCTTTACTGCACCAGCTTCGCTGAAGATTGTAAAAAGGGTTGCGACGCCACGGTGCACGGACGTCGTGGGTAGCCACTCCTCGCGTATCTAAGGGGCTCTTTAAAACCGAGCGTTTTTGGTGTTTCAGTGGTCGTGAAAATTAGGTTTCATGGATTCAATTACCCTTAATTTTAAACACACCATGCCCTAGAAGCGCTGGAACTTTGACAATATTTTGGACTCTGCGTCGTCACCGCGAGTGACCAAGGAAAAATAGAGCGAGAGCAGCTTAAAGCCCCAAATTCTCAACCAGCCGTTTTTGTGCAGAAAAAAAAACAGATTTCAAGACATCCACATTATTTTTCTTTTGTGGACAGTGCAGCTCGTGTAGATCGCATTGCGTTAAAAATTTCCGGCACGCTTAAATACCTTGCCAGTGTTTCCTTAGGCAATAGACTTGTCCAGTTGTCTAAGCCGGGTTGCACGGGATGAACAGAGTGGAAATTTTACCCGGGAAAGTGCAAAAGAAAGCGCAGCAGAAGCCAGCATGTGAAAAGCGTATCGTCCGTGCACTGGTTGGTGCTCTTGCCTCGGCAGTCCTTATTTTCGGGCTATCTAGGGTAGGACATTTGTTCTGTTTGTTTGGGAGCGGCCAGCTGCTCGCCAAAACGTCCGAGGTACTCACTTGCTCACTCCTATCTTGCCGAATGTTTTTGTGCGGGACACCTCTGGCCGGATGCATGCCCTGTCCCTCCTCTGTTCGGGCTGGCGGATCCAGTCATCCCAAAACCTAGAAAATAAACGGCAGGTTGGTTGCTTCACGAGCTTTCCCCCCAAACACCCATTAGCAGCAGGGCCAACACAAAAAAGTGAACGCCATATACAACTCCCTGCAACGCCGAATTAGAGCGCAGCTCTTGAGGAGGAGGGAAGGAAGGGACTGTAAGGGGGGGGGGGGGGTGACGTGACCTTGGGGGGGTGACGTGACTCCCCCTCCCCGAGGTCCTCCCGAGAACCGCGATGGGGGGGGGCTTGCAGTTACGCCGATGCCGCTCGAGCCGGAAACGGGCGCCTAAGAGCTGCAGAAAATGATGATGCATTTTCCACCTACAATATTTCCATTTGATGCCAAGTCTGGTTTTCTCCACTGCCAAAAGATGGCACTGTCATCACATGCTCGTTTATACATTTGGTACATAAGCAGCGCTAGCCACCAGCCAATTATAAATTTTTATATATCAGGCAATTGGAATGTTGGAATAATTCAAACTTTTAGAATAATACTATTAATTTTTTTTTTTTGTAAATTTTGTTACTTTTTCGCAGTTACCTTGAGTATTTAGAGCCATACGTGTGGCTCTAAATATACAAGGTAGCTGCTAACAATAACCGATCTTGCCACAAACCTCACACTTTTGGTATCATTCTAAAACTTCCATTGAAAACAAAAATATATGACCAAGCAAACTTCATTACTAGGTTGCTGTATCCAATAATTCCGTACATCAGTCCTTGTTGTAACTGGACTAAACTATAGAGTTGAACCAACTAATGACAAACTCGGTTATAGCGAAGTATGCAGAGAGCAAGTCGCTTGAATTTTGCGCAGGAGTTGTGGTGACATCAAAATGATGCTGAGCTCTGTAGGTAGACCTCAATGCTAGATGCCTTGAGGTCTACCCACTATTTCTTCCAAATCAGCCAATAAGAGCTTAGAATTCTGATATCACAGCAACCCCTGTGCAAGAAGCAGACAAGCTTGCGCACCACATTGGATCTAATGAACTGACATTCTTTTCACGCTCCTGTTTGTATACTTTCACCCGTCTTGAATGTGCTTTCTGTTGTGTTTGAGTATTGTTTCAATAAATAGCGCGAGGCGGCGGGCAAAGAAGTGAGCGCGCACCTGGGATGTGCGAGACAAAACAAAGGCACGGGACATTAAAACCGTTTGGCTCTGGAAGCTACATCGGCTGCACCTCGTCCTGTTTCTTGTAGTAAGCACCGTGGTCGTAAGCCACAACATAATTGGCGACGAGCTATGGAACGTCCATCACGACTGCAACGGGCATCGTAGAAGGAATCGACCGAGCCACGGCAAGGACAAACGAAGATGGCAGGGTTGGGAAGGTTCGATCCGTTTGTGGAGGGTGGTGACGAAGATTTTGAACCTTACGTCGAAAGATTCGAACACTACCTAAAGGCTACAAAGGTAAGCGAAGCCCTAAGGCTCTCTGCTTTTGTCACCGCAATTGGCCAGAAACCGTACAAGGCTCTTAAGACTTTACTCCATCCGGTCAAACCAGAAGAGAAAAGCTGGGAGGAGTTGGTGGCGGTTCTGAAAGGTCATTACGCTCCGAGGCCGATGGTGATAGCCGAGCGGTTTAAGTTTAACCGTCGCTACCAAAAGGAAGAGGAGACGATAGCCACTTTTTCAGTGGAACTGAAGAGGCTCGCGTCGAGTTGCGAGTTCGGCAGTTTCTTGGATGATGCTTTGCGCGACAGGTTCGTCGCGGGACTAAAAGACAAGAAAACACAGTCCGACTTGTTGAAGAAGACGACGTTGACGTTTGGTGCCGCGTGTGACATTGCTAAAAGCATCGAGCTCGCACGCAAGGAAACCATCACGTTTCAGCCCACTGCAGGTCGTCAAGGGTCGTCTAGCCAACGAGAAGACGACGACGTGAACGCGGTTCGGCAACAGAAAAGGGAAACGTGGCGCAAGTCAACTAAGGGTCCACGAGCTTCCACGACTAAACAGACATCCGGTCATACGGGAGACACCACGTCTCCCTGTTCCTACTGCAAACAGGTACACACTGGACAGCCCTGCAAGTACCGCAAGTACAAGTGTCATGTCTGTAAAAAGGTTGGACACCTGGCAAAAGTTTGTAGGTTTAAAACAGACTTCGTTATACACGTCGCAAGTGATGGAGCTGATGATATGCAGCTTTACACAGTGTAAGCATGTGAAACGGGGAGGCGTAACTATGAAGTAGATGTTAAAGTAGCCGACAAGCTCGTAAGAATGCAGATAGACACTGGAGCGTCCGTGTCGGTAGTGCCAGAATCGTGGTGTGTGAAGTACAGGGCAAACATTCCCAAGGAGTCATGCAACCTTAAATTGAGAATGTATGGGGGGAATTCTCACGGTGACTGGGAAGTTGTCAGTACCAGTCGAGCACAATGGACAGAGAAAGACACTTCCTCTTATTGTAGTTAAGGCACCAGGGGGCAACGTAACCCCGCTGCTTGGTCGAGACTGGCTAGAAGAGCGGAGGCTAGACTGGTCATGCGTAAACAGCGTAAGAGAAGAAAAGGAAGCAAGGCTCCTTGAGAAGTACGTGGAACTTTTTGGAGAAGGTGTGGGTCTGATGAAGGGACAACAGGTCAAACTGGTTTTGAAGGAACAAAGCATACCTGTCTACTGCAAACCGCGACCTGTGCCCTATGCGCTAAGAGAAGCTGTAGAACAGGAAATTCAATCATTAGCAACAAAAGTAATATTGGTACCAGCGTTGCAAAGTGAGTGGGCGACACCTTTGGTAGTGGTACCTAAACTAAACAAACAGGTCCGGTTGTGTGAAGATTACAAAGTGACCTTAAACCCAGTCTGTCAGACGGATCACTACCCTCTCCCGCTCATGGAAGATTTGTTCGTTTTACTGAGTGGTTGTAAGTACTTTACCGTACTTGATCTGTCTACAGCCTACCAGCAGCTGGAATTGCATCCGGAGTCACAAGATTTGGTCACTGTGAACACACACCTTGGCTTGTTTAAGTTTACGAGATTGCCTTACGGCATCACTAGTGCTCCAGCAATTTTTCAGTCCGTCATGGACAAAGTACTGGAAGGGCTGAGAAATGTCGCGTGCTATCTAGACGATGTACTAATAGCGGGCGAAACTTATGAGGACTGCGATAAAAAGGTGGAAAGCGTGCTGGCACGGTTCAGCCAACAAGGCATCAGACTAAAGAAAGAAAAATGCAGATTTTTTCAGACGTCTGTTCATTACTTGGGACATGTGATAGATCAACATGGAGTTCGACCATCGGAAGAGAAAGTAAAGGCCATACGGGACCCCATGCCCCAAAAATGAATCAGAACTGCGCGCCTACTTGGGCATGATTAACTTTTATGGCAAGTTTGTGCTGAACATGTCAACCGAGCTGAAGCCGTTTACGACTTATTACAGAAGGGCACAAAATGGCGTTGGTCAAGGGCAGAAGACAACACATTCAACAGAAGTAAGGCGTGGCTTAGACATGAAAACGTCTTAACGTTCTATGACCCAAAAAAGGAATTGGGGCTTGTATGTGACTCTTCAGCGTACGGAGTGGGAGCAGTTCTTTTTCACAGAGTTGGGAACGATGAGAAACCGATTGCTTATGCATCACAAACTCTGAGCAAGGCTGAAAAGGGTTATGCCCAAATTGAAAAAGAAGCCCTAGCAGTTGTTTTTGGGCTAAAAAAGTTTCATAAGTATCTGTATGGCAGAAATTTCAGCATCTATTCGGATCACCAGCTGTTGGCAGGGCTGTTAGGTCATGGAAAACAAATTCCGGCGATGTCAGCAGCCAGGATGCAGAGGTGGGCTCTCTTACTTGCTGCCTACAGTCACAAGTGGGTTTATCGGAAGGGTAGCCAGATTCAGAATGCTGATGCGCTGTCACGTCTGCCTTTGCCCAACGTGAACGATAGCTCAGACTACGTCAGTTTCTTTTCGGCGGTGGATGAAGTGCCATTGTCAGCTGGTGAAATTAGGAGAGAAACTGAAAAGGATAGTGTGATGAAAAGAGTGTTATTTTTCACACAGAACAGATGGCCTTTACATGTGGACAATGAGGCATTGCAACCGTACTTTGTGCGCCGTCACGAATTGTCGGTTGACCAAGGATGTGTAACATGGGGAAATCGAGTGATCATTCCCGAAGTGTTTAGGGAAAAACTGTTGTCCCTGTTGCACGAGGGACATCCAGGCACCACCAGAATGAAAATGCTATCACGTAGTCACGTGTGGTGGCCTTTGATAACATATGATGTCGAAAACACTGTCAAAAACTGTAGTACTTGTCAACTAATGCAGAACGCGCCACCACGTGTTCCATTATTAACGTGGGGTTGGCCAACGCGCAGATGGCAAAGGGTGCATCTTGATTTTGCATACCGGGATCATAACTGGTTTTTGATTCTCGTAGATGCTCATTCAAAGTGGGTAGAGGTGTTTCTTATGAGTTCCACTACGACAAAATGTACTATCGAAAGATTGCGAAGTGTTTTCGCCATGTTTGGACTACCAGAAGAGGTAGTGACAGACAATGGACCCCAGTTTGTGGCGACAGAGTTCGTAGAGTTTCTGTCGATGATTGGTGTATGCCACACGAAAAGTCCTCCGTACCATCCCGCCTCAAATGGATGCGCGGAACGGTGTGTGCAAACCGTCAAGCGGGACCTCCTGAGGCAGGTAATCGACGAGCACCGGACGGGTGTACCGAAATCGATGCAACATCGAGTCGACCAGTTACTGTTTGCATACAGAAATACCCCAAGTGGTACGACCGACAGAACTCCAGCCGAGCTGTTTCTCTCTTGGAAGCCCAGGACCCGTCTGAGCTTCCTTCATCCTGAAATGGAGAGACGCATGAGAGATCACCAGCAACAAATCAAGACAGCCGCCGACATGAGAAGAGGCTTTTGGCGAACTTTTGAAGCAGGCGACCAAGTCCTCGTCCGGGGATTACGTCCGACAGATCCTGCAAGGTTGGTTAGACGTGTTGTGAAGAAAGTAA